TTGACTGTTGGATATCCAACTCAATTGAGAAAGGCAACTTTCAGCAAAGCTTCATGGCATTCAACAAAGCTACTGTAAGTTTCACTATTTAGTTTATATGCAAATAATTATCACGTTTTTTTAATTCAAATGTGTAATTGAGTATTTCAATGCTTAAATATAAGTAATTATAGTGTTTTTTTAATTAAATGTCGTAATTGAATAATTTATATTTTTATATAAATAAAAATTTGATAAAAGCATCATTTGATGATAAAAGCATCATTTGTCATATATTTTTTTTAAAACAAAAAAAAAGTTTTTTACAAAATTATTAAGAAGATTATAATCAAAATACATGATTTAATAAATTTGAATTTCCCCAAACAAACGATTGAATCTAAAAATAAAATATCTTAAAAATCAAACAAAACCTCCGATATTATATTTTTGTGAATATCACATTTTTTTTAAATTCAAAATTTCACAAATCAAATACTCTTTTAAAGTTTTGCTTAAGATGAATAGCTTAAGAAATGCAATAAAAAAATTGAATTTTAAATAAAAAAAATTGGATTTGAGGAAATCGGTGAGCTTTTTCTAAAATTAAGGTACTTTTAAATCTTATTTACTTAACCAAAATATTTTTAAACTTTATTCCAAAATAAAAATACTTTGACTTAAGTGTACTCCACATGGGCATTTCTTTCTATGTCAGCATTTCCTTCTTTCATTTGAGCAAAAATAATCTTTAATTAATGCAGATCAAAGCCTACTCCTTTCTTTATATTAAAATAAGTTTTTTATCTATATTTAAATTCTTTCAAGTAAAAATATTGGATTTTGAGAACGGTTTTGAGAAAAAAAAAATTAAAAGAAGAACTCCAAACAATTTCACCCAAACAAGGATTTTAGCAAAATCAGGTTACAGAAGTTTCATTCCAAGTTTTCACTTTCTCAAAAAGAAAGGTCTATTATTAATGTGCCACAACCAGATTCCAATACTCAATTGCAAGTTTCTGTATTGGAAAATTTGAAGAGAAACATTTTGGGACCTGCATATTTGATTTCAACAGCACCTTCTTTTCTTGCAACATATATTAATAAATTTTTTCATATTACTATAATTAGGGGGGCACATCCCGAACTGAGCAACAAGATAATTTTGCGAAGTAACAAAACCTTCTTCAAATGCTTCTTTTGAAGGCTTAACTAAAGCCTTACCTTCTACCTTAGATGAAGGAAAAAAGTGAAAAGATTGCTTTGATAAAGGAGATCCAAAATAGAAAATGCTAATGTCCACCATTTTGCCTCAAAACTTTATAGTCTACCTCACCAATAAAAATTGCTCAACTCAATGGAGTCGGAAGACATGGGAATTGAGCTTTATCATCAATCAATTTTTTAGTAGTATCTTGAAATTTATTAAGAAGGAGATCCAATGGTCAATCTTTAAGAGAATACCAAGATAATGGATTTGATTCCATTAAAGCTTTAGGCGAGGTAAACCGACAAGAATGAGACCCAAAAATTCTTATAGATCCTGCCAAGGTAGAAAAATTTCTGGATCAAAGAAAAAGGAGAATGGTAAAAAGAAATTTAGAAAATCAGAGGAAAAATAAGAAAGCATTCATTAGTCAGCTGATCACATCCTTTCATTTTCCTCTATTCTTTTGGATGTAAATGTTATAGTAAAGAAAAAAAAGATAAATAACGTGGAGATTAGTCGACATAAAGTACCTTTATTTTGAAATAAAGTTTAAAAGCACTTCGTTGAGAAAATAAATTAAAAAGTGTCTTCTTTTGTGAAAAAACTCAGGAATTGTGAATGGTGAAGTTAGGTTGGGCTTTCATTATTAAGACAGGCCGAATGACCCATTGAAACGTGGCCCAAATATAAAAAATCCAATTGAAAGTTGAAGCCCAAACCCAAATTTCTTATATTTTGTATAATTATTAAATTTAAAATCCCTTTTTTTCAAATTTAATTATGAGAAATTATCTTTGACAGTTTTGAATTCTTCAAATAAAGTATCAAAGTGGCACACATCTTTAGAGTATATTTAAGGTACCATTTCTTTTAATGGAGAATAATTTTTTAAATTTAGTTTTTACATTTTCTTGTGTTTGGATAAAAAAAAAAACAAGTCGAAAAATCATTTTGTTTTTTTTATTATTTACTTGCATGGATAAGTTGAGAGCCAGCATGGATGAGTTGCTTCACTTTCTTATCGTCATCAATAGTGTAGCCTTGGTGGTCAGTGGAGCAGTGGTTCACGTGGATTGTGGACTTGTAATAGAGACAAGAGAAGGAAGGAAATGTTGAGCACGGTATTTAACAAACAATAAATTTTTTTTTTCTAAAACAATCCAAACAATAAAAAATGAATTTTTTTTGGAAAATACCTTTTAGGAAATTTTGTTATTTTCTGGAAATCTTTTTCAAATTATCAAATGGAGCTTAAAAATAAAAAAATAATTAAAAAATGAAATAAGTAAATATCCCTTTCATTTTGCTTATAAAATTAAAAAATTATTTAATTTATTTAAATGATCATAATATATTTAAAATATAAATAAAATAAAATTTTCAATAAAAATAAATCCCTTCACTAAGTGAGGGCATCGCTAATATTTCAGCGTCACATTCCTTTCAAAGAGGCATAACTTTTTATCACACTCCACAATTTCATAATCTTTCCCTTTCAATGGTTTTTTCTTTCTTTTTAATGAAGAATTTTTTCAATGGTTTTGTTGCATCTACATGACTTTGAAATGGTCAAGCTCTACATAACTTTGAAATGGTCAGTCAAAATGTGTGTTCTAAATAGCTAAAGTGTTCACTGATTTTTAGATCAATCGATACATTTTGAGTTAATGCTTGAAGATTATAGATTGAAAAAAATTTATACATGTAATTTTTTTTTAATATATTCATTTTAAATATATTATATATGTGTATTTATATATGTTCGTGAACATATTCGTTTAAAGTTCATGAATGAACTCATTTAACTTAATCAAATGAATACGAACCGAACACGAACAACCTATTATTTAAACAAACAAACATAAACAAACAGAATAATTTTTTTAACAAACATAAATCAAACAATAACACCTCTAAAAATAAACAAACAAACAAATCACAAACATATATCCGTTCATTCATGTTCAATTTATTTACAACCCTAATAACATTTAGTAAATTCAGAATTCAAACTTTTAATACTTTCAACTCTTTCCTTTGAACTTAAATTACGACCTCATTCACATAAAAATAAGTTAGATGATTGCTATATGTTTATTTAATACTTAATTAATTTATTAATTTTCATAGCTTTCTAACTTTGTTTGTGGAGTTTAAAACTCTACCTTCAAAATGTATAAGATAATTTTTTTCTTATATATTTATGTATTTATATAGAATAAAAACAAATATATTGAGTTTTCTTCACTCCATTATGTCTCTCTTCAAAAATCTTTCAAAATTTTCCAAGTGAGAGAATACTAATAAAAAAGACACATGGGGATCCGAAGGTCTCACAAAATGCACCTTAGGACACCAGAGATCAATTCTTTTGTGTGGAAAAATTGGTCTTAAACATTGTTGCAGTCATTTTCATGGAAATTTCATGAATTTCTCCCTTAGTCAACTTTGGTCTTTCATTTATACATTGAATTTTAATAGTTTGCCCCAATAATCGTTGAATAGAATGCTATCTGTTTTTTTTTTTTTTCCACAACAGGCTTGAAATTGGCCTATAAATAGCAGTCGAGAGAGGAGATTTTCAACTCAACCTGCCTAGTGATAATCCAAAATGAAAGAATTATTTCTCCTAATATGCTTTCTCTTAGCTTCTTCTCTCTTTATTCCCACTTCCACCACGGCTTGAGAGCTGGTCGAGAAAGGTGAGAGCAACTAGTCTTTTATATATATTTTTCCGTAATAAAATCAATGATATTTTCAGATTTTATTCAAATCATATGCATATATATTATTAAATTTTATAACATATTGAACTCGAGATTAATTCATTTAATTTATTCAACTATTTTTAAAAATGATATTCAATAAGTTTGAGGTTTAAATTTCATCATTTGTAATTCTTTTTTTATTCCAAATTTACAATTTTATTTAAATTTTCAGCACTTTGGTTTAACTAATTACATTGAATTTATTTATATGAATGTTGTTAACAACATGGATATGGCATATGGCTGTTGAATTTGCAGGTTCCGTTTGGAATAGCCCATTTGTGCCTCGTGGCAGAGCAATTGGTCCTGGGCATCCTGTTCCGTGTGCTTTAAACCCTAACCAAGCTTGCACACCCCCTCCTAAGTGCAACCCATATGTTAGGAAGTGCAGAACTCCTCCACCTGCGCCTGCACCATGACCGTGGTAGAAAAGCTATGGATGATCTATTTCCATATGTGAAATTACAATGGGAATTTTATAGCTAATAATAAAGTTGCCCCAAAGCAATAACCAGATCATGATCATGATGTTGCAGTCACCTTGATTTGTATTTTGAAGACTACTATTAAATTTGTGTAATAAAATAGTTCTCAAAGAGCTCGGTTCTTGAGACTTTAATGAATTTGGAAGCTTTTATATTTTATGAGAATTAAAATAAAATAAAAACGTTTACTCCTTGTTACATAATTCGAAAATTCATTGAATTTTTGTACTCATTTCTTTAAGACAATTTATTTGTATTTAATTAATGACTAAAATACTAAAATTGCCCTTGAATTATTCAACTTTATTTAAATAAATCCTTATATTTTTATTAGACCTAAATGAATTATTATCCTTTCATTTACATCGATGTAAGCCCTTATTTCAGATAAAATATTGATTTATATTAAAAATTTATTTTAAAACAAATTTCAGATTGAAAATTTATTTGAGCACAAATTAAAAATTAAAAGCTTATTTAGATAAAAATTAAATATTACAGATTTATTTAGATGAGATAAACAAAAAAATATAATATATCAAAGCAAACAATATCTTATAAGTTACTGTAGAACATGATAGACATCGTGTAGATAAAAAATAAGTCCCTGAAAACTTTTAGTCTTTTCTATAACCATACCTTGAAATCACAATGAAAGGCAGTGGATTTCCAGCATTGCAAGTCAGTTCAGCGGCTGAAATAGTAAATGATGCCTTAAATTATAAACTCATACAGTGAACAAAACACAAATAAGATATTCCTTGTCTGGTAATTGTGTGATAATAACATTGGCATCTGGAAACCAGATGAATTATATCAACAATAATGGAGTATTTATGGTTCATTACATGCGATTTTCGGATGGATTGATAGGTAGCCATCACTCAACTATATTACAAACTATATATAATATGAATGAAAAATTTAGGAAAATGAACAGAATAATGTAACGAGAAAAAACCTTCATTCAATCTCTTAAGATATTACCAAGTATTCTCAGGACAGGGACAACTGAATTTCAGCAGGATGTCCATAGGCTAAAGTCACAAGGCAGGACCTTTTGTCATCTATCTTCCACGAGGATTTACTAGTTGTGAGAATACTGCACTAGTAGCAGCATCTTCAGCATCATCATCAGCGCCAGAATTTCCCCCATCGATCATGCTTACACTGTTGTCAAATGGCTCAAGCGGTGTCAACTGAATGGCTGGGATATGGTTTGTACTATTGTCATCGGGTTCCATTAGTGCTGATGAGGTCTCCTCCAGCTGAAGAGCATATTCAAGGTTCCATAAAACATCTCCCATTGATGGCCTGTCAACGCCGTGCTCAGCCAGGCACTTCTCAGCTGTCTCTCCATATTTCTTAAGGGAAGCTGGATTCACTTTCCCCGCCAGATTAGAATCCATGATTTGATCCAACATACCTTTCTTCTGCCAGTTCATTGCCCATTCTGCAATATTAACTTGTTCTCTTGGAAGAACAGGATTTAAAGCTGGCCTAGTACAGAGAACTTCCATCAGAACCACCCCAAATGAATACACGTCAGACTTCTCTGTGAGTTGCTGCCTTCTGAAATATTCAGGATCAAGGTAACCAAAGCTACCCTTAAACTGCAGTACTCACATGTGTCTGATCTAAAGCTGGACCAGTTTTTGAAAGACCGAAATCTGCTACTTTGGCTACAAAATTCTCATCCAAGAGAATGTTTGTGGTCTTCACATCTCGGTGAATGATGCTTTGGGCTGCACCAGTGTGGAGATAATGAAGTCCCCTAGCAGCCCCAATGCATATTTCAAGTCGTTGCTTCCATGATAGAGATGGTAGATTTGTTCCATAAAGATGGCTTCTAAGGGGTCCGTTAGCCATATACTCGTAGACAAGAACCATTTCTGCTCTTTCATCACAGTACCCAATAAGAGAGACAAGGTGGTGGTGGCGAAGTTTTGATAACATTTCAATTTCAGTGCGGAATTCAGCAAGACCTTGTTCAGATCTGGGGTTACCTCTTTTTACAGCAACTTTAGTCCCATCCTCAAGTGTTCCCTTGTAGACCCTTCCAAAACCACCAACTCCAAGAACTAGGCTCTCATCAAATTTGTTGGTAGCATCAAGGATTTCTTGGAAGGAGAAGAACCGGCCGAGATTGGAGGAAGCCAATGAGATGCAGCTTGCTGTTCCACTCTTCTGTGATGTTGTGGACATTTTGGTCATTGTTTGAGAGTTTCCATATAAGGGCAAAGTCAACCACGGATGTCCTTGATGAGTAGCTTTTGACTTGCGTGCTGCCAGGCAACAACAACAGAACCCAATTAGTGCCACTGCAGCTACAGCTCCAACAAGACAACCAATTATTATCCAAATCTTGTTCTTCTTCGAGGATGATTTAGTAAGGAGATTCTTAACAGAAGAAAGTCCATCCATGCTTCCAGCCTCATTGCTGATTTTCATTATCTCCAATCCATTCATTGTTGCATTAGTGATGTCTGCCACTGAATCTGGACCAATACTAACAGTCAATGTATCGGATTCTTCTGAAGAATTGGAGATAAAGTCCTTATAATAAGGTACATTTAGGTCGCCAGTCAATGTTGAGAGGTCAAGACTGGCAACAGCAATATCATCATTTATGTATAGATTGAAAACCAAAGCATTGAGAGACTGACTCACGATATCACAAAAATGTGCCCGAACAAAATACCTGAAGTTTGGATCAACAGGGAAGACCCAAGTTACATTGAAGTTCATACTGGGTACATTTGCATCTCCCATGACTTCAGCAGTAGCATAGACCCAATTTGGGGCTGTTTCCGTTGTAACGGAAGTCGTATATTTGATAGAAGCAGGATTGACTGAAACATTCAGAGCAGAACTGTTTACATGGAGATATTTCACATCAGTCTCCCATGTTCTTCCAAGGGTATCATTCTGAGCAGTGATCAGTGGCCCACCCATGTTTAACCTATAAACAGTTTCCATGGCAAATTCTGAAAGACCACTAATAGGAGCAGATGGATTCAGAGCTAATGCCTGGTCAGGCAGGATTGCATCTGGGATGGAGACAACTTCCATTGCATTAACAAATGAAACCGAATTGTTTGAAGGAATGAAGGTAAGAGTCAAGGTATCAGAGATCACATTGACTGCATACTCCTTGAACAAAAAAGAACCATTATAGTTGCTGAAAGTGAAGTTGTTCAAGAGCACAAAATCATCAGTGACAACTGTTATTGGAGCAGATGTCAAGTTCTGCCCTGATTTTGGAAGAGGATAAAAGTAGAGCCGGACCCAATGCCGACCTTCTTGATTGATACCAAACTTGTAAGAAGCAATGTCAGAGAAAATTCGGGCCGATTGATATATTGAAAATGGAACACTAGAATTAGAACTAGCAACAAAAGAACTCCCACTCTTCAATGAAAGAGAAGAATGGCTCAAATCAGGAACAAAAGTTCTGCCTTGGAATGCGACATTTTGTGAAGAACCACAAACAATCAAGTAGTTATCAGCAGGAGTGAATGAGCCATGTATTCTATAACCCAAAAACTCAAACAAAACAACAGTTAAAACCAAAGCCACCCAGTTACCTAGTCTCATCTTCAACTTGTTTAAATAACTCAAATGCCTGGCTATAATCCCAAGTTCTCAACTCAACAAACCATTAACAAAAAAGCATCAAAACACTGCCTGACTCCCAGTAAACAAAGATCTAAAGAAACCCCAAAATCCCAGAAAACTCCAAAAGAATTAACCTCAAAAACTGCTTAAAATCTCAATAATCAAACCCCAAAGTTCATATCTTTCTAAACCTCAGATCTGACTAACCCCAATGCTAATCCAACTACAATCTAAAACATTTCAACACAATGCAAGATTACATAAACTTTACTTCAAAGATAAAAAATTCATCAATGCCCTTACCTTACAAATGAAGCTAAAATAGGAAACAACCAGCTATTCTCTGAAATGGGTTTTGAGATTTAAGTCCTTTTGGATTCAAAGACAAAAACCCAGTTGAAATAACATGAATGTCACCAAGAAAAAAAGGACTCTTTTTCCAAGTGTAGCAGCTGCTTCAGCATATAAAACCCAACCTTTCCAGGCTGTTGATTAGGCTGTCATTTACAGAGAAAACTAAGAGGACCCCACAGTTTAGAAGGAAAAAAAAAGTATATCTTCAATGTATCTTGGAGCAGCCTGGGAATATATCACTTCCCATAAAAAACCAGCCTTTTATCTGTCAGTATATTGAAAAAGCTTTGAATTTTTTGATTACTCAGTAGCTTCTCATAGGCTTGTTAATTTAACATCAGAAAGCTTCATGAAAGTCCTGCAAGTGAAGCTTTATATTATTGCCTTATTGTAGTTTATGTTTAACGTTAAAAAAAAAATTGGGATTTAAAAAATCGGAAAATCCCAATTTGGTTATGTATGGTTGATGAGCTGGGACCAAACGATCAAAAGGAACCAACTTCTACGCGGCTTGGAGGCGACATAATTGACGGCCGTTAAGTTAACGGTGTTGGGACCGTTTGGCACGATAAACTTAATTGATGTCACCTTAACGGCGTTAAGGGTGGAATACATTATTATATACAAAATTTTCCTTTTAATATATGTTATTGAGAAAAAAAAAGGAAAATGAAAATATTTATTAAAATGGAAAATATTTATTGGAAAGAAAATTTAAGAATTTTTTAATATAATTTGGAGAATCGATAATAAGTGATGTAATCAATTATTGATTTGAAAAATTATTTAAATTAATTGTAATTTTTAAATAATTATTATTTTATTATTTATGTTATTTATATAATAAATTTAATATCAATATTATCTTTCTTATTTGATATCAATATTACCTTTAATATCCCTCTCATTTATATATATTTTATTTTTTAATTCATATATAAAAAGATTTTATAACTCTTTCATGATAAAAAAAATTACCTAATATATTGTTGATAGAGTTTAAAAAAATCTCACAAAAAAAGTTAAAAAGTTATCATATGCTTAGTTTATATAATTTAAAAAATTCATATAATAATTAAAAATTCAATAATATTTAATTTTAATAAAATAATAATTTCAAAATAAATAAAAAATAATAACAATATTATTTTTATCTTTTTTTCACAAATTCAAGTCAGCTTTATTTCTTCATCCACAATCATTTCCATTCAATAGTATTATAGAGGAAATGTTAATAATTCTAAAGCTTCATATAATAAAATTTAACACTTTCAAATAAGCAAAATTAAATTTAAAAACTAAATTAATTAATTAAATCACCCTAACAAAACTTTAACGCCGTTAACTAAATCTAGTGAACGGAATCTGAACCTAAACACCGTTAACTAAAATCCACCGGCATTGGCTCACATGGCCACGATCACCAACGTCCCTATTTTTTAAATTAACAATATTTCTTTTTCCTTAATTTTAAGAAAAAACAATTATTTGTCAAATTTTTGAATGATTTTCTTAATTTTTAGATTACGATTAAAGTTCAAATTCGTTATTTTCAATCTTTAAACAGATTTTAATATCATTAAACTAATTTAAAATATTTTTTTATCTTTTAACTTATGATTAAATTTTAAATTCGATACTCTTAATTTTAAAATTAATTTTAATATTACCGAATTAAAATATCATTGATGTGGGGTGTTTCTCCAACATTTTGCATTTTTATTACACGTAAATAGATTTGGTAATTTATGTATTTGTATCATATAAAATATTAAAATTTATGTATTCGTATCATATTTTATACAAAAATTATATATTATAATTCATATCGACACAAAAATATGAAATATATTTTTTAATTTTGTTAAACCTATATATAATAACTACTAAAATTTTAAACTATATTACATTCATATATTTTTTATATTATATTTAAATTATATCATTATATTATATTTAAAATTATTATATCTACGATATAAAGGATGTTAGCCAATGGCAAGTGGAATTTTAAAGATTTGTATATGTCCAAACTTCGTAAGGAATTTTTGCTTATTTTCACATGACAATGATTCCTATTTTGACATTTTTCAAACCATACTTTATAAAGATACTAAGATAACAACTATTTTTGTACATTCTCAAATAAAAATGACTTCTTGTGTGTGTGTGTGTGTGAAAGGGAATGATGCATAAAAATTGATAATCATTACTCACTATGGTTTTAATAATAAAAAGGAATAACTACAGCTCTTACATTAAAATTAACTTGGAGAGTAAATTGAGTCATAAATCTTTAAAAATTTTATAATATTTTTATTTTTACTAGTGACTTAAAAACCTCAATTTTTTCTTATTTTGAGATTTTTAGATTTTGTTCCAAATTCATTAGTCTTTGCATTGGAATTTGGTTGGAATGTCAACGAAATTTGTCATACGATATTTTGGTGAATATACACAAATCAAATTATATTCAAAATTTAACTATATGTGGATGGATAAATGAATTTGAAATAATTTCATAAAATTACAAATGAAATTATCGAAATTTTATATTACATATAAGATAAAACTTTGCAAAAAAAAAAACTGCATAATGATGAAGGAAGATGAAATTTTGGAGATTTGGTTTGTACTTTTTTTTTTATAGAGTTAGTTTCAACAATAAAATCTAATAAAAAAAAAAGAAAAAGGAAGATGAAAATTGAAGATTGAACAAACAATTATATGTTTAAGTGTCATTTTCTAGTCAACTAACAAACGTTGCTACCATGTTAGTGCCATATGCACGTCATTCCCTTTGGATGTTTTTGTTTATTGGATATTCCAAATCTTTGGTCCCCTCTACCACCCCATTTCTCTATATAATAATGAAATTTCCAATTTTGTTTTCTTTCTTTTTATTTTTCCTTTGCTCAGAGTATGCATTTTCTGTGTCAACATTAATATTATATGTTAATAAAATTTTTAATTTTTAATTTTAATGATCATAATTTTATTAATTTTTAAGTATTTCTAATATTAAAGAAAAGTAAACATTTTTTAATAAAAAAACTAAGTCCAAATCAATTCTTTGAGTAAAAGGATATATACAAATGTTGTTGATGTCATAATGATTTATCCAAAAACTTGACCCCTAAATAATTTTAAAAATTATAAATTATGAAGATTTGCATCTATTATGTGAAGTAATGTTTATTTTGATCCAAAGATTTTATCATTTTGCTTCACAAAATGCATTTCATAAATATAGGTTTAGATTTGTGTGTGTATATGTGTATATATATATAATAACATAATCTTTCAATGTGAGATTACAATATCACAATTTTTCTATTAAAACTTAACGTCATCATCAATCCCAATGTAAAGTACACAAAAACATACGAAATAAGATCACATTAAACATTAATATTCTAAAGGTAACTTTTCAAGTGTAACACTTAGCTCTCTAATAATTCTAGGTGTGTCTCTAATGGTATAGCTCAATCCAACACACATATAAAAATACATAACTAAGATGACACTAAATATTAGGATTTTAGACGTGACTTTTTAAGTATAATACTTAGTTCTCTCATGATTCTTGATGTGACTTTCATAGTATAGTATTGAGCTCACATCGGATTAGTGATTTATCTAATACTATTTGTAGAGACCTATATTCATTTGTGAAATATTATTCACTTTAATCTAAAAATCTCATAATTTTATTCCACAAAATATATCCTAACAAGTATCAATTTAGATATTTACATATATACCATAATAGATCTTCACAATTTTTTGATGTCAAAAATTAAAAAAAAAAAATTGTCACCAATTTTTTTATTAGATGTGATTAGCCCAAAATATGATATCCGAAAAAAATTAAAAATCAAGTGAAATTGAACTGTTTCCAACAAAATTAAATGTCTAAACTTGAATTTGAGCAAAATGTTTAGATGCTATCTATGGTTTGGTGATATACTAGAAAGAATTAATGTGCCTCTTTTAATCATGAAGGATGTGAAGCAAACCAAGCAAATTGAAAATTCAAGAAATCCAAGTAGGTAAGCAGGTTGCTTTGATGTGAAAACAAGAAAGAAGATAGTTTTTATTGTGCAAATTAACCTCATCAAATCCTTAGTAAAAAAATGAAAGAGTAAAAGAATCTAATTAACTCAATAACAATGAGTGTAATAATAATTCTGACAAAAAGATTGTAAAATTAGAATATACTTGTTAGCCTATAAAATGTTTTCTATTTATCTATATATCTACAATGAAATTTTAAATTCTTTATGTATTAATTAATTGTATTCAAAATTAAGTTCGATTAATTCACATAATTATTATTACGAAACATCAACCAAGAGATTTAATGTTTAAATCTTAATTAATACTTACAATATCTTTTCTTATTTTTACGTTACAAACTTTTTTGTATAAAAAAATAATTATTAGTCTTTTTTTCAAATTCATTGGCAAGAATTCCAATGACCCAAATTCATCAAAACAAATTATCATTTTTAGTATATTCCCACTATATTTGGTTCTCACATACTCAACAAGACAAGGAAATTTTCAAAAATACTTAGAAAATGAAAATAATTGAATTTTACATTTTCTCTACTTGAAATTAAAAAAAGAAAAAGAAGAAGTTTTTTTTGGTTTGAGACCCGCTGATATCCAATAATCATTTTGAATCTCAACTAATTTGAAATCAAATCAAATCAGATTTCATAAAAAAAACAAGCTCTTCTAAACTTTTTTTTTTTCATTTAAGAAAAGAATTATTTTGACGTGCGGAGAAGAAGAATGAAATGAAGAAAATGGAACATGAACTGTCAAGCAAAGATGCCATGTGGCTGATGTTGTTTTTCTCTCATGTTTTGCTTATACGACATGTCAACCATCTTCCTTAAACTGCTTAAGATGCTGTCTACCTGCTTATGTTCTTTAAAGAAAATTGCTCCTCACTACAACTTATTTCAATTTTAACTTCAAATATCCAAAGATCAAATAAATTTATTTTTTCAGAAAAACATTATAAGTGTTAAATTTTAAATTTTAAATTTATTAGATATTACATTATAAAAATGATTGCATAAATCTTCAAATTGGTCAAATGAATTTATTAATTCATCATTTATATTTATATTTACTTTAATAAAAATTTGTCACTAGTCACTACTAATTATGGTTTGGTTTGAAACGCTCTACCTTTATTATGAACTTAAGTTACTTAATAAAAAATTAATTTTTTGATACAAAGAAAATTATAATTTAAAAATAAAGGAATGAGTTGTTAGCGATGAAATATGAATTTTAAATTTATTATATATCACTTTTTAAAGTAATTATATATTTGAACCAAGAAAATTAAATTTTCAATTCAAAATTAATTAAAAAATAAAGGACATTAATATTAAAGAATTTTATAATTAATACTTCCACGAATTTTTTTAGACTACCACTCTCCATATATAGGGTCTTTAATCACAAGTCAATAGTCAGCTCAAAGCCTTTAGGCTCATCTCATCTCACGAGACTCAATTTTCAGGGCTTAGGCCCTTAGCTTTTATGTAAACTGCCCACACACATGATTAACACTCAACATCATGTTAGTCCCGCAAGGAAAACTTGGGTGGACTACCTCAACTGCAGCACACCTCTACTAATTGGCCACAAGGATCTAGCAGAGTGCCTGCCTGCTAACCCGCACATCCCTCAGGCTCGATGGCGTCCCTCCTACACAAATACCATTTCATGATCCTTTTAACTCAAGGAAGGGAAACCAAGAAGCATAGCAAACTCTATCGTGTAACCTCATGGCTCAACGCGAAGGCGCGATACGAGGCCTGTCGACCCCAACCGTCCTCGAGTTTATCATGATCCGAAAAAATATCGTGTCACGCTCGTGATCTTACGATGCCCGCCCACCTAGACTTCCATGAATATTAAAGAATTTTATAATTAATACTTCCACGAATTTTTTTAAACTACCACTCTCCATATATAGGTTCTTTAATCACTATCCATAGCATTTTACATGAAACACACTTAATAACAATAAATTCACTCAACAACCATTAAGCAATATAAAGAAATAAGAGTAATTTCCAAATTCCAAACTTTTCCTGTAGTTTGATAACTACAACTACAATTTTTTAAATAAAAAAAAAAAACAAAATTCCTAATATCTAAATGCAATATCAAGCTCTACACTACCTTAAAAATAAAAATAAAAAAGGGTTACAAAATTTCTCTTTAATTAGCAATAGTTATATAACAAACCTTCAAATCAAAAATTAAATTTATTAATGCAATCACTTTTAAATATTATTTTTACAAAATATTAAAATTTATGTATTTATATCATATTTTATACAAAAATTACGTCTTATAATTTATATCGACATAAAAATATAAAATATATTTTTTTATTTTGTTAAACCTATATATAATAATTACTAAAATTTTTAATTATGTCACATTTATATCTTTTTTTTTTATATTATGTTCATATTATATCATCATATTATATTTAAAATTATCATATTTATGCATAAAGGATGTTAGCCAATGGCAAGTGGAATTTTAAAGATTTGTATATGTCCAAACTTCGTAAGGAATTTGTGCTTATTTTCACATGACAATGATTCCTATTTTGACATTTTTCAAACCATATTTTATAAAGATACTAAGATAACAACTATTTTTGTACATTCTCAAATAAAAATGACCTTTTTGTGTGTGTGTGTGTGAGAGAGAGAGAAAGGGAGTGATGCATAAAAAGTGATAATCATTACTCACTATGATTTTAATAATAAATAGGAATAACTACAGCTCTAACATTAAAATTAACTTGGAAAGTAAATTGAGTAATAAATTTTTAAAATTTTTATAATATTTTTATTTTTATTAGTGACTTAAAAAACTTAATTTTTTCATTTGCAATTTTTAGATTTTATTCCAAATTCATTAGTCTTTGCATTGGAATTTAGATGAAATGTCACTAAAATTTGTCACACGATATTTTGGAGAATATACACAAATCAAATTATATTTAAAATTTAATGATAAGTCGATGGATAGATGAATTTGAAATAAATTCAAAAAATTACAAATGAAAATATCGAAATTTTAGATTACATATGAGATCAAACTTTGCAAAAAAAAAAAAACTGCATAATGATTCGAAGGAAGATGAAAATTTAGAGATTTGGCTTGTACTTTTTTTTATAGAGTTAGTTTCAACAATAAAATCTAATAAAAAAAAAAAGAAAAAAGGAAGATGAAAATTGAAGATTGAACAAACAATTATATGTTTAAGTGTCATTTTCAAGTCAACTGACAAACGTTGCAGCCATGTTAGTGCCATATGCACGTCATTCCCTTTGGATGTTTTTGTTTATTGGATATTCCAAATCTTTGGCCCCCTCTCCCACCCCATTTCTCTATATAATAATGAAATTTCCAATTTTGTTTTCATTCTTTTTATTTTTCCTTTGCTCGTGGTATACATATTCCTAGTCAACGTTAATATAATATATTAATAAAATGTTAAAATTTTAATTTTAATGATCATAATTTTATTAATTTTTAAGTATTTCTAATATTAAAGAAAAGTAAACATTTTTTAATTAAAAAACCTAAGTCCAAATCAATTCTTTGAGTAAAAGGATACGTACAAATGTTGTTGATGTCATAATGATTTGTCCCAAAATTTTATCTTTAAATAATTTTAAAAATTATTGAGATTTGTATTCACAAAACGTTTGTTTTAATTCAAAAGTTTTACAATTTTATCCAATAAAAATATTTTATAAGTATGAATTTAAATTTTTACATATATATAATAATAGATCTTTACAATCTTTCACTATGAGATTGGAGTGTTTAAACTCTTTGTTAAAACTTGACATTTTCGTCAAGTCTAATATAAAATGGATACAGACACATAGAATTAGAATCGCATTAAACATTAAACATCAAACTCAATATAAAATATACATAAAAACTTGAAAACACATAACCAGAGTCACACTACAGGTTAGAATACAAGAGGTGACTCATAGAGTATAGCACTTAACTCTTCTGTGATTCTATATATAACTACTACAGTGTAACATTTATGTCCTATTAGACTTATGACCTCTCTAATACAATTTGTAAAGATTTATACTAATTTACGAAATATTATTCGTTTTAATCCAAAAATTTTATAATTTTGTTCCATAAAAAATATCTAATAAGTATTTATATTTTTACATATATATCCTAATAGATTTTTACAATTTTTTGATGTCAGATTGAAATATCACAAAAATAAAAGAAATTATCATCAATTTCTTTTTACTAAATATGATTGATCCAAAATATAATATCCGAATAAAATTAAAAATCGAGTAAATTGGCCTGTTTCCAACAAAATTAAGTATTTTGAGCAAAATGTTTAGATGCTACCTATGGTTTGGTGATATACTAGAAAGAATTAATGTGCCTTTTTTAATCATGAAGGATGTGAAGCAAACCAATCAAATTGAAAATTCAAGAGATCCAAGTAGGTAAGCAGGTTGCTTTGATATGAAAACAAGGAAGAAGATAGTTTTTATTGTGCAAATTAACCTCATCAAATCCTTAGTAAAAAAATGAAAGAGTAAAAGAATCTAATTAACTCAATAACAATGAGTGTAATAATAATTCTGACAAAAAGATTGTAAAATTAGAATATACTTGTTAGCCTATAAATGTTTTTTATTTTTCTATATAGGATTTACCCATCCACAATGAAATTATAAATTCTTTGCGTATTAATTAATTTTATTTAAAATTTAGTTCAATTAATTGATACAATTATTATTAAAAATATTCATCAAAAAATTTAATATTTAAATCTTAATTAATACTTACAATATCTTTTCTTATTTTTATGTTACAAAATTTTTTGTATAAAAAAATAATTATCAGTCTTTTTTTGCAAATTCATCTGACAAAAATTCTAGTTACCCAATTCATCAAAACAAATGATCATTTTCAGTATATTCCCAATATATTTGGTTCTAACCTACTCAACAAGACAAGGAAATTTTCAAAAATACTTAGAAAATGAAAATAATTGAATTTTACACTTTCCCCACTTGAAACTAAAGAAAAAAAAAAAAAAAGTTATTATCATACAGATAAGAGTAGTATTATTTTGGGGTGTGGAGAAGAAGAATGAAATGAAGAAAATGGAACATGAACTGTCAAGCAAAGATGCCACGTGGCTGACGTTCTTTTCCTCTCATGTTTTGCTTATACGACATGTCAACCTTCTTCCTTAAATTGCTTAAGATGCTGTCTACCTGCTTACGTTCTTTAAAGAAAATTGCTCCTCACTGCAACTTATTTCAATTTTACCTTCAAATATCCAAAGATCAAATAAATTTATTTTTTCAAAAAAAAAATTATAAGTGTTAAAATTTAAAATTTAAATTTATTAGATATTTCATTTAAAAAATGATTGCATAAATCTTTAAATCGGTCAAATTAATTTATTAATTTATAATTTATATTTATATATACTTTAATAAATCTTCAAGTCCTATAAAATTGAAAGAAAAGCCAAAAGAGTAATGGATTCGAACTTCATCTATAAGATTTAAGAATAGCACCACAAAATGTGCAAACTATAGCCCTCCAAGATTTCCAATACAATGGAACATAACAAAATCGGGTGATCGTCTTCATGTCGCCGACGCTTGCTCCTCCGCCACACCGCGAACACATCCCGGCGGCTGGCTTCGTGTTCGTCAGCTTCCGCCTTTGATCCACCAGGAAACAAAAGCAGACCATATTCAAGCTAGAAACAAAAAAGAAGCACAAAGTTTGTTCAAACTTCAGAGGATATGGGAATTATATATTAGACCAAAGATTATGTTGAAGGTCGAACTATTTGTAATAGTATCGACCGTTGGATATGCGACACGTGTAGTTCGAGTTTGTTCATCTTATTTCAAAAACAAAATTATGTAACCTAGATTGTATTACTAAAATCTTTTTTTTTTTTAATTGGGGTGCCAAATGAAGAAATCAAGAGTACAAAAGAATAAAAATCAAAATAAAGCAGCCATCAATAATCAAATTAAATTTTCAAAAACCTTGAATTATAATTCTTGAACTTGATTCTGTAAAATCAAATTATAAATCAAGATTTTATGATAATTTTTATAAAATTAAATCCGTAAAATCAAAATGGAGCAAGATTAGGGTTCATATGATAATATAGAATAGGAGTCCAAATTAAAATTACAAAAGGAAAAAAGGACATTTCTAATTAGGGAGATATTGAAGTTGAATAATTAATTTAAATGTTTAATTTACTTAATAAAACCTCTCTTCAAAATCCGAAAATGAAATTTTGACCAATTTTTTCCCTGCCAAAAGGAATATATGGACATCCAAAATAATGGGTTGCTTTTATTCTTTGTTTGCACCAAATTGCAAATGAGACCTTTTTGATATAAATTCAGATCGTGTATTCAATATGATCTCAACAAAAACTCGTTGATAGAACTCGAATTTAAATTTTTTTTATAAAAAAAAAATTTTAATCAATTGAACTAATCATTTATTGATGAAGCTATATTTACTATTATTTCTTTTAGATATTTATCGATGACTTATATTTATTTTTATTTATATATATAGCCGTATATCATCAAGCTAAGTGGTAAAACTTAAAAATTTATATGTTATTGGTCAAATAATCATGATTAAAAATAAATTTTAGCTCTTTGAACGAAAAATATTATGCATCAATCATTGAATTTAAACATTTGAATGTATATCGTGCAATGCTATGATTTCATATGAAAACTTGATTTTCATAATTTACATGAAGATATAAATCAAACAAGAGAAATTACAATAATTTTTTGACTTTATTTAATAGAAAAAATAGAAAAGAGTTATCAAATTTATTAATCTAATAATTAAATTATAAAATAAAAAAATTGTCATAAATGTTAACTATTAAATCAATAAAATTTTCATTCTCTTCTTTTCTTTTTTATTTTTTCTACGGAGCAAAACTTTTATTTTTTGCTCAAGTGACTAGGAAAACACGTTTTTTCTTGCTTGGCCCATAACGTTTCAAGACCATCACCATCTTCCTTTTTGAAGCCTGGAGTTACCAGGCTGAAAATCGTAGGTCAAAAAAACAATTTACTGGGGCTTGATAACATTGGCTACATAGCCTGTAACGCCAACAAAGCTTTCAATCCATAATCCGTACTGTAAACTTCCAATGATTTTAAACTAGAAAAATATTGGAATTTTTTTTGGATGAACTCCAAATTTCTTTAGAATATTAAAGCTTTTAAAGCATGTTTTGATAATTATACATATAAATAAATTTAAATTAAATTTAAAATTTAATTCAATTGATTTATATAACCACTATTACATTATAGTATTTTGTATACTAAAATTACCAAAGAATTTAGGGCTCAATTGAAACAATGATTAGCTTCAGTGTGGCGTGATTAGTACCTTTAATCGTGCCATGCATATGTTTGGCTAATAATGATAGCATAGCGAAGAGGATTTTAAACGTCAGGACCTCCAATGATCAATTGAAACCTCATGAGTTTAGTTGGTAAATACACCATTCTTTTTTCTTTTTTTTTACCTTTTTATCTTTATAATTGTATTATAAAAATAAAACTAACCTCACATTTCAACCTTTTTTTTATTAAAAATTTTTAAAATAATTTTGTTAATATTTATATCAAGATATAATTTTATTAATTTAATATAATAAAAAGATTATCTAATATATTACTGTTTTTATTAATTTTAATTATTTAATAATAAATTATTATCTAACATAAAATAATTTAATTTTTTTAATAATTTATTAATTTTATAAACATTACATAATTTAAAATTTTTATTATATATAATTTTTTATTTAATATCTTTAATGATTATTTCTCTTCTTATTACAATACATCTCACATCTATCATTGCATTGACATCTAAATATATATTTATATCATTGATTTTAATCTCATTGTTATAATAATTAATCTCATTTTTATCGTAATTTTCAATTTCACCGAAATCTAAAAATAATCTTATCACCCATTCAAATAAATCCTTAAATCTCAATACTGATAACTTCTTTTTTTCCCTCAAAGCTGTTTAAACTAAAACTGCCAAAGCCAGAGCCGTTGCTATCTTTGCACTAAGACAGTGGTCAACAGCAACAACGAATATAGTTAAGCTTCTTTGCCGAAATCCCGAGCTGTAGTTGAAAATTATTACTTAGTGTTCATTCCATGAAACACTCGAAGCTCAAGTTGGGGGCCATCAATGGAAACACTAAAATCAAACAAAATTACCACTGATGACGAGGTTGAGCACAGCAAACCAACAAAGATGCCTAATCCTGTGGGAATTCTAGGTTACTGTTGAATTTAAATGTCTTCACTCCTATTTGCAAATTTTGATTTTTAATCAATGCATTTTACAGTCGTTTTTTTCAGGTTCTCTTCATTTATATTTAGCAAATAATTGGGAATTTTTAACTTCTTGTTGAATTTTTCGGATTGCTTGTGAAATCCTATAATCGAAAATTTTAAGTTAAAATCTTACTCTATCTAGTAATAACACCAAATCAAAGGCTTCAAATCTTAATGTTTAATTTCTCAAAGCTTGTGAATGGATAGAATGAATTCTTTTGGCACAAGTCCATTACAAATTATTCTGAATTGGCCATTTTCTTAACATTTGATTTAATGATTAGTGTATAAATTATCGAATTATCTATTTAAAGATTGAATTTGAAGTTTTTTTGCGAAAATATAAAAAATTATCTTTTTTCATATAAGATTAACAAAAAAATCATTACAAATTCCGGGTTAAGGTCTCCTAAGATATGGACCTAGGCTATTGGATTGAGCATGATCAGTTATCTTCGAAAATTAATCTTTAAATTAAAGGAAAATAATAAAAATGCAATCATTATTTTTGAAAAATTAATCATAAATAGTTATTATTAAAATTATAAATAATGTCTTATATTCATATCATATTTATATTCTATCATTATATTATATTTTAAATTATCAAATTTAATTCAAATTTATTGAAAAAGAGAATATTTTAACAAAACTTGAAAACCCTTATTATGATATACACAAGTCAATGTTAGGTTTGATTCTTGAATTCATTATCTGTAGGTTGGGTAAGTCAATAGTCTTAGGGACCACATCACATGTTTTTCCAGATTTATTTAAGGCTTTTGACATGTGATAAATATTCTTACTGACTATTGGCCTTGTCATCCTTCTAGTCTACTGGGCTAGGCAAAATGGGAGGAAAAAAAAAATTCAAATTAAGATCTCTTCAAAGTTCAATCCAAGTGCTAGAATTTGTTCCCCCTTCACTTGGAAATTATTTAGCCCATAGATTGCTGTATTTCTTAAATTTTTGTTGATATTAAAATTTTTTAATGATTAAAATTTAAAAATTCTACTAATGATATATCAAAAAATATTTCAATTTACGTAAGAAGACATTACGATTAGGTTTTATATCATATTTTTACTACTTAATTGTGTATTTAATTGGTTCTTAATGCTGTTTTTATTTTTTATTAAATGGACACGAAAAAAGTATTATGTAAATTTAGATAGCTATAAAAGTTTGTCTAATATTCTTAATCTTTTTTTTTGGTACATATAATCCTTAATCTTTCAAAATTAAAAAATAAAGGCATAATAATATGATTTTTTAATGTTACTTCCATATCTTTTTTAATAATATCCAGAGCTTCAAGCTGGCATGAAATTAAATATTATAATAAAAATACATTATACAAACCTGTCCAGATCAATGCATAAATAAATAAATAAATAATCTTAGATTTGAGAACTATATATGTCTGCCGACAGTTTCCCATGTTCAATGCGACCTTTCTTCCAATTTTGACATCAACATCATTGGCAGTCTGTCTTTAAGAAGGGAGGATAACATAACAGTTTCTTATCCATCTATAAAAATAAAAAATAAAAAAAGTATGAAACTATTATTTCACATTAGTATATATTTTTTATTTAAATTATTTTGTAAAATCATATTATAAAAAATAGTTTATATTGATCATTTAATTATATTTGATGTTTAATTAATAATTAATTTTTAAAAAATTTTTATTACATTCGATTGGAAAAATATTATTGACGTAAAATAATAGTGTCATATAATTTTTTTTATTTAATAATATATATATATATATATATATATTAATGGCTTTCTCTGAAACTTTAATGAAAATTTGGTGAGTGGTGGTTTTCATTTTTCTATTGCTTTGATATTTTTTTTTCTTTCTTTTTAGTATCTTTGTTATGATAGATGACGTGAAGTATTTTCCAAGCGAAAGCGACCCCATGCAAGTTAATTGATGTAATGGAAAAATAATTGAAAAGCCAAGAGTTAATAGAGTTGGCCTATGGGGCTTTGTATAAATGTTGAAATTGTGGAATTGAGGTCCAATCTAGGTCTTCTAACTAATTAACTAGGGGAGGAAGATTAATTATTTCAATAAATCAGCTGCAATAAGGTGTACCTAAAGTTTAAGTTTATTCATCAAAAATCAACTGGACAAATGTTCTAATATAACTCTATATGAGGTAATCAATAACCGGAACATGAATTTCACTCACATTGATTAAGTTTGTTTATCATATTCGATTTTTGTGGAAATATTTTTAAAAAAATATTTAAATGTATCGAATCAATGTAAGAGATATAATTTTAAAATCAATAAAAAATAAGATTAGGTTCATACAGAATATGAAAATACCCTGGTAAAATTAAAAAAATAGCTTCCTCTCTTTCTTTCTTAGCACAAACAAGAACCAACACCTTGATAAAAATCATAAAATGAAATATTATGGTTTAACATGTAAATTTAGACTTGATGATTTATATACTTATGTTATGTAAAATATTAATAATTTTATTTGTACCGTATTTTACATGAAAGTTACGTGTTATGATTTATATCGATACAAAAATATGAAATATACGTTTTTAGTTTTATTAAACTTATATATGATTTTTGCTAAAATTTTAAATCATATCATTTTCATATCTTTTATTCATATTATTTTCATATTGTGTTACTATATTATGTTTTAGATTATCAGGTCTACATGCCATCTTCGTATTATTGAATGTGGTCATTGATTGTGAACAATATACGTGTATCCTTTTTTTTTTTTAATTTTGCTGAAATAAAAGGAAAATAATTAGCTGAATATAATTTGGTCTTCGTGCTAGCTAGGCCATCTAATTAAGATGATTATTGCAAAACCATTACTTAAGTAGGGTATATCTATCCTCTACAATCAGAATATTACAACATTCCTTCATGAATGCATGCCATTGATTCATTATTACTTCATTATTGTGGTCATACACAAATACAAGTATGATATATAATTAATTAAGGGTTTATATTTGATGTATTGTTAGTATCTTAATTTTATACATTGTCATTATGTCGGATGATAACCTAATTAATGAGATAAGTCAAATGATATCCCCTTATTAATAAGTAAATTTTTAAAAGAATATTAATTTTTTATTTTAAATGTTGATATTTACACATTAATGAAATAATATCATTTGATAGTACATCAAATATAAATTTAATTAATTATTACATTTGCAATATATTATATAGTAGGCTAATATCTCCATGTAAACATGTCAATGGGTTAAAGCTTAAGACTTTATCTTGAAGGTTTTGAATTTGAATCCTAATACTAAAATAAGTTGGGTGGAATTATGAAATCAAAGAAGATTCTTTTTTTTTTTGTGCAAAAGAGGTCACAATTTGAAAGTAGAGAAGGGGATTGTAAGAATTGATATTTGAATTTTAAAATTATAAAATATCACCTTTTAAGAATAATTATATGAACCAATTAATTGAGTATTTGAAAATTAATTTTTGTTGTAGAGTCCAATATCACACACACATATAATGTCTAATTACCCTAGTTCTTTAATCAAGGGCAATTCTCAATTTTATTAAATTGAAGTGGCCCCTAAAGATCACATTTATAACCAAAAATTAGAAGAAATTCTTAATCACAAAACAATATTTGGTAATGATAAAATTAACTTGTGATTGAGGGTCATGGGTCATTTTCTTTTTCAGTTATATTTTTCTCCATATGGATCATGAGGTTACATCAATGGCTCTAGCACTTCAAGAAAATGACTCCATATTTCAAAGTCAAGTAAACAAAGGAAAAAATTATCAACCAAAACCATCGTATTCACATTTATTAGTACAAGATCCCCACACATATAACATAAATCAAACGTATTAATATTTTGCATTATGCAAAAAACATAACATTATTTATATTACATGAAATATCAATATTTGACACTTATCAATTAGTGTTCAATCCTTGTAAAAATTACTTTAAAAGTAAATTTTTGAAATTATCAAATTGATGTGAGAAAATGCGTCCATTATACAAAAAATATATTTGCATTATATAAAAAAAATCAATAAATACGAAGTTGAATCCAAAGTTTGAATCAGTTAATTTTTATATTTATTTTTAAGATGACATTCGATAAATTTAAAATTTTAATTTTAATATATTTTTTTTATTTTTAAACTGTATTTTTTTAATAAAAAATAAGTACGGAGTTGAGTTTGATATTTTGGCCTTTTATAAAGGAAAAAAAGCTTCTTCATAGCCAATTGGAGTGCTTAATCAGTCAAAATTTACATTTAATAGGATGAAGAAAAAAAAATCAAGTGAATATAAAAACAAGATGTACATTTTTTTGGTGATAAATACGACCAATTCAACCAAGCCAATCCATGGAATTAAGAATTTAGAAGTAGATATAGGCTTATTTTTAGACCTATATGTACTTTGGTTTAGGCTTTTGAAAGTAAGTTGAAGACTTTTGAACAAGTCGGTGGTGCTTTGCTTTGCTTGTTTCATGCATGCACCGACGCAGAAGCTGTTTGCAAATCGGCAAAAATGGTCAAAAGAAAAAAAAAATCAAACTTGGCGCCTTCCTTCATGTCCTCAACTCTTCATTTTTCTTCTGTCATTACCGCATTCTTCTCCTTTGCTTTCTCAATGGGATTGGAGTTGGGCCCACTCTATTTAATCTTCTTGGAGTTTTATTCATTTATTTTGGTTGTTAGAAACAACATTAAAATTCCCCCTTTGCCTTTTACTATAGTGGTTTTACATTTTTGGCCTTCACCAAAAAACCCATTTTCTGAACTCAAGTTAATCTATATAATCATCAGAGTATAATTTAATAGGTTTGAAATTTAAATTTTAGTATTTGTGATTTTTTTTAGAGTTAATAATACGAATAATCATTAAGTTATAATAAAATATTTAGTTTTATACTTAAAATTTCAAAATATCTAATATAATATCTAAATTATAAATTTATTAATTAATATAGTATTCAATTATAACATAACAAGCATTAACTAATGACACATAACACAAAAATAATAATGTAAATATCATATTAATTAACGAACTTATAATTTAAGTATCAAAATTTTTAAAATTTAAATATAATATTATATATTTCAATATAATTAAGTACCATTTGTAACATTGATTTTTTTATTTACAAATTATAAACTATTTTGAGTAATACAAAAAAATTATATGGAAATATTCTACTTTAATAAATCTAAAGCTCAAGATCCTCCAATGAAAAATATAAAAAACAAAATCCATCCAACTTCTTCAACTTTACAATAAGGGTATGCTTGTCTTTTGGTGTACAAGAGTATGACAAAAGCGAGCATCTAAACAAGCTTTTTTTTTTTATGAGCATTATTAATCGAACACAAGAGTAATTTAGTAATTTTAGAAGATTATGACACCTTTTGAGGGCAAATTAGGATACATAATTAAGAAAGTTAATGGATGGAAATGTTGAATTTATGGCCTTACATCATGGGGGACAGTTCAATTTCAACCGTTTGAGTAGTGACCGGTGAAGTGGATTGCATTGGTAAAAAATCTCAAAAAAAGATTTGAATTCACATCAATCCCAAAAAAGTCCTTGTTGTACGTTCGAGAACGTACCACTCCATGATTTGCGGGGTCTAATTAATAGACAATGGGTAATTTCATTTTTGTCTTTCCAATTGAAATTCGATTTCAATATTTTTAATTTTGAAATTAATTTTAATTTTATTAAATTAATAATTTTTTTTATTTTGAGTTAGAATTTTATAATTGTAATTATTGTATGTTAAGAATTCATGATTTTTTTAATAAAATTGAGTTCATAAAATTAAAATTCAAAAGTATAGAGCCTCGCCCATTCAAACTTCTTGTAATACTATAAATTTGACTTGTTGTATGATGCATATTTTTTTAAGGTCAAAACGTTTTTTTTAATACAAATTAAAAAAATAAAAAATTTATAATTATTGAAATTTAAATTTTAAATTTATTAAATATTATATTTTAAAAATAATCATATAAATCAATTAAATTATATTTTGAGTTTAAAAGACATTTTTAGGTTCATATTTTATGATGCTTAGATAATTAAATTTGATTTTGAATTACCCTAATTAAGAAGATTTTTATGTGAGGAAACAATTAAATTTCTAAAGAAAAGCGACTCTAACCTGTGGTTTAAAATTAAAAAAAAAAATCTAAGAGTTAGTAGTTGATACATTATTGGTATAAATTTTTATTTTTAAAAAAATATTAAAAAATTAACATATGATTTGTTTTTATTTTTAAATATACTTTTAAGAGGTATGTATTATCATTTTTAAATAGCATATAAAATCTCAAAATTTTATTTTTATTGTTAATATATTTGATAATTTCTTATAATTTAAAACGCAATTTAAATTAATTCTATAGTTAAAAAATATCAAAGAAAAAATCTCATTCTTTGCACTGTTTAACAATGATGGTATTTTTTTTACATGTGAAAAAAGAAACATTTTATCATATCAATGCAAGACAATAAGCGAAGTTATTGTATTTCATTTCATTCAACATCAAACCTTTTCATTTTCTCCATCTTTGACTTCATGTGTAAATTGCTACTTCTATTTTTTAAAAGTCTAAGATTCTCTCACCATAAGTGTAAAACATGTACATTTTAAAACAAAAGATAAAATTAAAATAGATCTTCATCAATCAAATGGTTTCTGAAATTTAAAACACTTTACTTTTGATATGAATGATAATAATCATTAAATTAAATTAAATTAATTCTTTAATTAAAATATTAGACATAGAATAATTGATTAAGCTATTAGTGTATGTTTTTAATTTAAAAAAAAAATTCGGAGCCTCTCTTTTAAAAAAAAAAATTTACGAATTTCAAACTCTTTGGCTTAACATTGAAAAGAAAAAAAGTTATATTTCAAGATTAATAAAATCTTTTAATTCGTTAACTTTAAATAATTAAAATTTAATTATTAATCTCAAATATCAAAAAAATTTCCGATTCTATCATATTTTGTTAAATTCTCATTTTACCCCTTATTATTATAAAAAAAAATTATTCATAACATAATCCCACGCTGAGGCACTGACCAATGAGTTTATCATTTTCCTTCTTCTTTCTCTAAATAATCCGTGAATTTTCCACTCACTAAGAAAATTTTCCACTAGATTTTTAAATTCAAAATCCATTTAAATTTTCTATTTTTTTCTCCTCTGCCTGTAAAATTCAAATCTACCCCAAAAACAGAAGGCCTCCAAAGCGCGTGAAAAAAAAATTTGTTAGTTGCCAGTGAGAGCATTCTCATTATCCTCGAGTGCCGGCACTACTGACAATTTTGCAGATTGTTATTAAAACTATAAATCATGATCCAGTTGTCCTCTTTTTTGTCTCTTTTTTTGTTCTATTTGGATGTTATGATATGACCTTTTCTTCTCCTCTGATCTTCCTTTTTTCTAGAGCATTTCTGCCAGTTGTTTTCTGTGCTTTTCACTGATAATTTCTTGGATAACGGAAAAGATTTTTCTTCAAAACATGGTCTGATTTGATTGATCAAGTAATTTGACAAAAACCCATCAACGAAAAACAAGAAAAAGAGTGAAAGATTGTTTCTTTTTCTCAGTTTTTGCAGAGATCAAGAGAAAAAGTAGAAATAGGACCATGGGGAAAAGCAATAGTAGCAGAGACTGGACTCAGATCTATGGCATCTATGGCATGGATCAGTGGCAAACCCTTGCTTTCCTCTTATGCCACGCGGTTTTTTTCTCATTACTCTCAATTCTATTGCTTTTCTACTTCGACTCCATCTTCCACTTCTTCCAAACTTTTCTTTCCACTCCTGGAGCAGCCCGTTTTGCAGCCGGTTTCAGCGGCGCCGTCACGGCGATTTCCGCTGTTTGCTTGTTCTTCGCGGCGGCCAACTTTTTTTACTCTGCTGGGCCGTTGCGTTATGACATGGCACAGCGAATGGTGGGGTCGGTTAATGATTGGTCGACGGTGAAGCTGGCGCTTGATGTTGGGTGTGGCAGAGGGATTCTGCTCAATGCGGTCGCGACGCAGCTGAAAAAGACTGGTAGTTCGGGTCGGGTTGTGGGGTTGGATCGGTCCAAACGAATTACTTTATCCACGCTGCGAACTGCCAACATGGAAGGTTTGTAACTGTTTTTTTTTTTTTTTTTAATTCCTCATTAAATTTTAGTTTTTTTTTTTTTTTTGGTTTTCACCAACTTTTGGTAAATAATAAATTCATAATAATTAATACAATTTGAATAAATTTTGAAAATTTAGGTGTTATAAAATAAAATACAATGATGTGATGCAATTTATAACCCATTTTATGTAATAAATTTCAATTCTTTTCAATAATTAAATTCGATGTAATGATATGCTATTAGTTAAATTTTTTAATTTCATAAATCAATTAAAAAATTAATATATGTTTTTTTAATTAAATTTTTTATTTGTTGATCCATTTGTAAAATTAAAAAATTATAAAAAATTATACATAGACGAAATAATTTCTTTAATATTTATTATTATTTCATATTTTGTTTTTTTAAAGGAAGCTGAGTAAACTTATTTAGCTTTTGCACAAAATTTCAAATTTATTTTATTACTAATCAATTTCTTCAAAAATTTGTAGGTATGAAATTTCTGATTTGTAATTTTTTTTATAAATATTTTTAACAAGGTGATTTGAAAAATTGAAGCAGGTGTGGGGGAGTATGTCACATGCAGAGAAGGTGATGTAAGGAGTCTCCCATTTGGGGATAACTATTTTGATGTGGTAGTATCAGCTGTGTTTGTGCACACAGTAGGAAAAGAATACGGCCATCGCACGGTGGAGGCAGCGGCGGAGAGGATGAGGGTGCTCGGAGAAATGGTAAGGGTCTTGAAGCCCGGCGGAATCGGGGTCGTGTGGGACCTCCTCCACGTGCCGGAATACGTCCAGCGGTTGCAAGAATTAAAGATGGAGGATGTTAGGGTTTCTGAACGTGTGACTGCCTTCATGGTTAGCAGCCACATGGTATCGTTTCGGAAGCCATGTCAGCACATTTTGGGCCTCGGTGAGATCCGGTTGGACTGGAGATGCTGACGTGGAAATATTAATTTTGATTCATAATCAAAGAAGAAAAAAGGGAGTGAAATTATAGGTAAAAATATAATTATTATCTATTAGAAATGAAAATCATATACAAAATTAAGATTTAGGTTTTTTTTTTTTTTTTTTAATTCTGGGGAGACGAAGCCAAACCAGATGTTTTTGTTGAAAATATAAGTAGTCATGTAATATCTATAATATGGTTATCAATTAAAGAATTGATAACTATACTTATGTAGTTTGAAGCAAAAATTTTGTGAATAATAAATAAGCTTTGCTAGATCTTTCCTTCTCATGGTTCACATAGCAATCTTCAATATTCCCTTGTGATTGTGAATTTTGGTGATGATTTTTTTTAAAAATTATATCAACAAATTGATTTTTAAAAAATAATAAATGCAAACAAACATTTGATTTAGTAATTAATCACTGTAAATTTTTTATTCAAAAAGTAAATTTATTAATAATCATATAATTTATTAATAATGTATTAAAATTTTAATTTCAGTAAATTAAATTCAATCAATGTAAAAACTAAAAAATTAAAAGAGTTAATTTGGATTCTAAAGCATGGTCATTGGTAATGATTGTGGTTATTATTTTTGCAACTACATTGATTGCTCCCATGTGAGCTTTATGAAGCAATGGAGGTAAAATCGGAGAAGATAGAGATGCTTGTTGGTGGGATAGGACTTTATGGAGGTTGTGAGCTGATGGGATTTGTGTAGGGTTGGGGGTTGTCAAATCTATGTCTTTCAAATCCTTGATAATGAAACATTTTCTACTTAATACAATTTAGTTAGGTTATGGATCAAAATATTTCTTTTCTTAATTTCAAAATTTTTGGTTTTAATTTTAATTTTTACACACATTAATCATAAGAAAAAGATGACATTATTTAATCTAATTATATTCATAATATTATCTTATCTTATCATAATTTTATGCATCAAATATAACCGTAATGAATTTTTTTAATAAGAAAGATTGTGAAGGACAATGAATATTCTCATTATAAAATCTTACACATGTATACACACTAATGTGTTTTTTACAGCACAAAATGGTTGAATTTGATTAATTACTAATGTGTTCTTCCTCAAACTGTTGAACTTGGACATTAATATGTAGCAAAAATTTAGTGTAAATTGCACCATTAGTTCATGATTTTTTTGAGATGTTTCATTTTCATTCTTAACTTAAAATTTTGATTTTTTTTTCTTTTGAATTTATTTCAAATCCATATATAATTATCAATATATCCTTAGAAGACAGACGTAATTGTTACATATGCATCATGCGTTCGGTCCATATTTGAATTTTATTTTTGTCAAAAATTCAATTATAAAATGATATGATGGTACGGTAAAAGGGACTCTCGTTGCGTTGCCAAAGAGACTCTTAATCAATATTCTTTTTTAGTAATTAGATCTTACAATTCTTGACACCAAATTAAGTAAAAAAAAAAAAAATCATAAATTAAAAAGTAGTGATCCGAGCTCAATGATACACAAAACTTTATTTTAGAACAATGTAGGATTAGATTTATTTTAGCTTAACCATGCTGTTTGTTTAAGTTTAAGCATCAATCTAAAAAAATATTAGTGGATTCAGAATTTTTTTCTTTTTTTAGATATCAATTTCTAATATATAAAAAATTATTGATAGATTCATCAATTTTATCGATATAAAGGATATCCATAATTTTTTTTTTGTTTTCCAATCTTGAAGGTATCTAGGGCAAAATTTTCCTTTGAATTTTGTAATTTTTTAATTTTTAGAGGATGCCCATAAATACCTTTTTCGAAAGGGTGAATCCCCATCTCACATTAAAGTTCATTTGTCCTGTTCTCAAACATTTAATTGGCCCATGTGTCAAAGTGTCTTCTTAATATTCTCCACCAAGTCACATTTGCACCCGTATTTGTTTAGATAATTCTTAGATAAATTAATAAATTAATAAAATTTAATGTAAAATTAATAATATATAAAAATATATTAAACATATTATTTATACTTAAAATTTAATCGGTACTTATTCAATTATAAAAAATTTTATCAAAATTTTTATTAAAAATGACTAATTAAAAAATATATAAAAAATTATTAAAATTTTTTCAAAATTTATATACTTAATTTATGTAATAAAATTTTTTAATTTATCATTTTTAATTTTTAATTTTTGTTTAATCAAATTTAATAAAAAATCTTAAATATATCAAGTCATTGTAAGAAATGCATCATTAAAATCATCTTAAAAAAATTAAACTCCCATAAAATTTAAAGGTATCCTATTGGGGTAAAAAAAATTCATATTATTGTATCCAGATTAAATTATTTTAAAATTTTAACAAATTTAAAATTCGAATCTCACTTAAATCTTACGGTCTCCTATGTAATTAGGAAAAAAAATTGGAATTAAAGTTAACTCTCAGCTACGAGAAGAAGATATGAATCTGAAAGTTGAAGAATATCGTAAGGAATAATCATAGTGTGAATTGACAGTCTATATTTCTCCAGTGAATGCCCCATAATGCATCATTTCTTTCCATTATATGCTTCAAAAGTTGGACTGATTTCTCAGCCATCTGATCATACTGACATGCTGAACTGTACTTTGTCTGAACAGATAAGAAATTGTTGAAAGCAGCCATGGCAAAATCCAAATCAAGCACATTGAGGCTCCAGAAGTGGAAATCCAAATAGGCTAATTGCCATGAATGGCAAAAGATGGAGGTATTCAAGAGAATCCTCCCATCTCTTCCAACCCTTTTGAGAGTTTTGCTGACTGCTTTTGCACCTTTTTGCTGTATGATCAGTTGTACCGTAAATCAATTTAAAATATAATCCGATGAAATTATATGAATTGAATAATAAAAAATATTAAAAAAATATAATTTAAAATTTAATAATAATTATATGAGTTTAATAAAATAAAAAAATTTTTTATATTTTCATAATTTTAATGTAAAACATGATATAAATATACAAATTTTAATATTTTAATAATATAAATACATAAATCACTAAAACTAAACTGCAGGATTGTGTAGAAAATATAAAACCATAAATACACAGTCAATAAATCTTTGGAAGAATCCAATCGAGCTATATGTGCATTATAAGGCAAGTTGAATCCTTCCAAATGGAAGAAGTGGTTTCAAAGCAACCTAAATTCGAATAGCTCAAATCTGAAATTATCTGAACCTAACTCATTTGATAGTTAATCACTTTTTTTTTTTTTAAATTCTCCAGTTATAATTTTTTTAATAAAAAATTAAAAAATAGTAATCAATCAAATTTTGGAAACAAATTTGATTAAATAATTTTTGTATGATTTCTTGTTTAAAAACATGATTAGTATGCTTTGGATAAATGACGTTTAACTCAATCGCTTTTACTAAAAAACATAAATTTGCGGCAAAATATTTAACTCAATAATTAATACATGATCTCGCGAGATTGTTGTTCAAAAAGTAAACTTCCCCTTCTTCAAATAACCAAAAAAAAAAAAAAAAAAAGAGCACAAACCTAGGAAATAATCCAACCAAAATAGTTGCAAGTAAGAGGTGTCAAGGGCACATGCCCAAGAAATGATCCAATCTTTCTAAAACTAGTTTCTTCTAAGCAATTTTTAAACGATTTGGATCAAGCAAAGTCAATTAAATTTATATATATATAAAAAAGACCATGATGAGAATATGAACTCAAAGATGGAATTGAATCACATTGTTATGCATACTGTATGTTGTACAAAAATACACACTTCTTCTGTACATGAGCCAAGACATTAGACAACTGAAACTGAAAGCACTGAAGGAACTACCTATTCTAATCTAAATTGATTAAGTTTTCTTGATTTGTTTCCAACAATGCAAGGGGAAAAATATTGAAAATTTACAAATATCAAGCAAAATCAAAATTGGATGCCTTGAGTTTATCTCTTACCGAAAAATTTTCATTGAACAGATTACGCTTTATCAAGAGTGGAAAAATATGACCAGGGATGACTGGTATGAGGAGAATCCAAGACGATCACGCTGGAATGCAGAAGGATGAACTAAGAGCAGGAGGCAAGACGCAAACAAGGTGAGGTCCAGCAGGATTGCAGCTTATGTTCGCCTCATCAATATCTGGTAGCCCGAGGTAAGGGGGGTGGACGTAACCAGCAACAAGTGGCATGCATAATATGGAAATAACTATCCTTGAACCTGTATTGGAAAAAATGGCAATTATATGCAACAGCAATGAAATATGAATGCTTTCTGCTTAGCTACAAAGCCAGGAATTATTATTAAAAAGTGAATAGGGAAGCAGTTCGTAAACCTTGTTTTGTGTCGAGCGAAATATGCCCTCTTTTCCTCCCAGCAATCATCCAATTCTCAGAATTTGCATTGACTTCATACAAGATCTCATCCTGTCAAATGTAATAAACATAATTTATAGTAGCTGAATTGGTAGAAAAGCAAGAGAGTTGCAAAGTATTCACTAAATGCTTCTCTACAGATTATGAGAAATATAAAATATCCCGATGCTTTCCTCATTCCGGCCTAAGTAATGGTGCAAGAAAATTGATTACAATACAAATAAAGGTCTTACATTGCTTTGAGGAACACTCTTCTCCTCAATGTCTTTCAACCTTTCAACCCTCCATTTCATGGTAACAAGTTGCCCAACTCGAAGACCATCAGAAGGAAGAAGTAGAAACCCAACAGCCAGGCATGGGTCAAGAACAGGCCGCTGCAAAACTAGAGCACTCCTGAAGATTAAATCCAGACTAGTATCCTGAGTTTCATTTGATTTCACGGCCACAGGTCGGTGTGCCCCAATGGTCCTATCACCAGCGATTCCATATCTGATGTTTAATATGCTATCTGGTTGTGCCTTATTTTCATCTGTAAAGCAAGAGGTTGATTAATTGTCATAAGGCAATGTGAGAGGGTATACTACTTTTCCGAGAGGTCATCACATATTGGGCTTCGCTAATGCTAAGATTATAAGAATAATGCACAACCTTAGTGTTCAACATTTTAATGTGAATAAACAATTCAAGAACCAAAGAAGCAGAT